TTAAAGATTTTGAAGCAAATATCTCTTCTAGCTTCTTCCACATGCCCATTGGAGTAGTCTCTGAAAGGACATTGTATTTCACCTTCGATGCAAGCGCCAGCCAAATTCGACTTGTTGCCTTCTTTTGAATGGTACTCCAATCACTATCCTTCATCTCAGCTGGCTTAGTCTCTTCTAAAGCTGCATCAAGTCCTTGACAAGTAAGGACATCCTTCACAGTACTTTGCCATAAAGCAAAGTCATTCTGGCCATCCAACAACTCAATTGAATACTTCATGGCTTCAGTTTGCATTTCACCACAACACCAGGAGCTCTACTAACCTGGCTCTGATACCACTTGTTTGGAATTTTGAGTACCACAATCCCTCACAAATGGAAGCGATAAAGAAATTGAGACAACAATTTAACGTGGTTCGACTTATACATCTCTCAACAAGTCTACATCCATGGGAAAGAGAGACATAAATCCACTATTAAAAAAAAGAGTACAATAATTTAGAAGCTCTCTTACTGAAGAAGCTCTCAACACCCTAGTTTCAATGTATAGAAACTCCCAAATTCTCCCTAATACTCTCTCTTAATCTACACAAGGATTTTCTCGTAATTTTTCTCTTTCTTTTATCTCACAAGAGCTCTCACTCAATTTCTCTTACTGTCCCCCATTCTTGCTTGCCCATTGCCTTTGCATGCATGGGTATTTATAGTGAAAAATCCAACCACCCATGCACCGTTTTTCTTTGCCTCATTACCACCCGTCCAAGATTTTCTTTGCTCATTAAATGGGTCAACATGCAATCTCGAAAGATTTCAACAAAGCAATCTAGCCCACAATTGGCTTATAGGCCGGTGAAGCAAACTTCCACATGGAAAGTCCATGTGTTCACATGCATGGGATTGGACTTTCTACCAACAATTTTTACGTCTTCTTTCTCTTGAAACATTGAGAATCCATTGATATCACATTCACTAAAAAGAGGGCATTAGCTTGGAAAGCAAGAAAGAACATAAGAATGCAACAAAGGATCCATTCTAGAGACCTATTAAGATAAATGTGCAATTAAGCCATTTTGGCTTGCTTCTTCAATCCTATCCTTTGATGTCCTAGCCCACTAAGCAAAATTAGTTTTCTTCGATTACCAAGTTTTATTGATTTATTAATTTGAAAATTTGGAAGATAATACAATGAGATTAATTGCAAATTTAAATTAAAAATTTAATAAGGTGAAATTTGAATTTTAAATAAATGATCTAAACCTAAAATAGAGTTTTTGTTATATAAGATTTAAATTAGTTTTAAGTAAGAGTTTTTAATTTTTTTATTTTGTAGATAAAGTAATAATTTTAATTTGAATTTATCTAGTTTTAAGTTATTGGCTAACAATAAAAAGTAAATGAATAGTCACCATTCTATTTAAAGAAGAAAATATTAAAGTCTCCAATTAAGATTGCAATTTGAAATTAAATTTAAAAATGCAAAAAATTTAAAATCAACTAATAAATAAAATAATTATCTAAATACTAATAAAATTTTAGTTTTCTTTTTCTTTTTAAATTTTTGGGCCTTAATGGCATGATTAAAACTAAAAAAAATCAAAACCACAACTATACCATGGCTTTGTTTAGAATGTATGTGGTTTTGAGTTTTGGTTTTTATAAATTTTAACTATTGATATTCAAAAATTAAAATTTGTTCAAAATAAATTTTAGCATTTTTTTTTGTACATCTAATTATTGATATATAAGAGAAAATAGCCTTTTGATTATGGGTTATAAAAAAAGGATAACCTTTCTTTATTCTCAAATTTCTCTTCACTTAACTTAAGACTCAAATTTAAAATCTCCAACTTAGAGTTTTAAGATTTTAACCGTTGAACTACCCCATTGGAGTAATAAATTTTAAAATTGGTAAACTAAAAGTACTTACTTCTTTAGTAGTATTAAAATTATTAGAAATAAATTTGTGTTATACACAATTTTATTTTTTGTATAATTAGTTTTTAACTTGTTTATAAATACCATTTTTTTAAGTTTAAAACTTTTTTAGAAAAAAAGGTTATTTTTTAGCATAAGTGTTTGTTAGCACTTCTTTTCTTCAAAATGTACTTTTAAACATTTTAAAATTTAAAAACTAAAAAGTAGTGTTTTCCTCCAATATATTTTTTAAAAGTTATATAAAAAAGGTGCTTAGAATAAGTTAAAAAATAAACTTTGCCAGCGGACCTAAATTTCATTTTTATTCCTCCTATTTTGGCCTTCAAAGATTGAGTGAATTCTCCGTTTCCTTTTTTTTTTTATAAAAATGTTTTCGTTTTGTGTAATCTTTCGCCTTTGCCCAGTGAGGCTGGACTGGGCCATTGAGTTTTGGTCATAGACGTTTTATTTGTCAGTTGCGATTTGTGAATAATGGAACCACTGGATGGATTGAACTTTATGAAAGTAGAAGCCCAAGATTAACTAAAAATGGTTATGGGCTTCCCAGGCCAGGTCTCCTCCCGATATAAGTCTCTCCTGGGCCTATAGCCTGATTACTGCTTCCTCTCAATTTTTTAAGTTATCAAATCAAATTAAATAAATTTTTGGGTGCTTCATGGTTGTGACCTATCACCTATGGTCCAAAATTTAGATACAAGCCTCAAAACTGCCATATGAGCTCATTGATCCAAATTAAATAAATCTTTTTCTTTCTGCTCGAGGTGGAATTGCAATTCCTAATGCACCTTAGTATTCCTTGGATTATTAAATTACACAAAAGTTGCAACAAATTGCAGTAGTAGTAGTCCCCTATTGTCAGCATACTGTTCCATGAGATAAGAGATCCAAATCCCAAAATCCAACAAACTACAATGGCATTGAATTTCCCCTGGTAATTGCAGAAGTTAAAGCAAATTCATGTTGAGATCGAATTAGATTAAGTTTAACAATTCAACCCAAGAAACAAGATTCATAAACAAAGAAACATACCCCAAGCCTTCCTGGCATCACTTCTCCATTTGCAGTAGTCATATCTACTCCCTGTAAGATGGTAAATCAAATTAAGATAAACGCCACAGATTTTTCATAGTTTCTGTAATCCAAAAGGCTTCACAGGATCAGGGCTTCACTGTAACAGTGAGATACCTGCTGAAAAACAGATCAGACATAACATGGCACCAAATGTTAAAAATGAAACTGCAGCATAAAAAAATGCTAACACTAAGGCTTGAAAAAGATCTGAATTACTTGTTATATCCTGACTTGAATCTGGGATTTTTGCAAGTAACAATCTTTCCTGAAGTATAATATCAAATAAGAAAATAATATAGGGAATGCCTAACACAGTGCAGAAGAAAGGAAATATTGCCTATAATCAAGGGCAACAACAAATGGCAATTTATATATCATGTATTAGCACCAAAAAGAATGGTAAAAAGCAAAAACCTTATCAAGAATGGTGCACTGTGCACAAGGGAAAATTTGACCTTTTTTTTTATTTGTTAGGATGTGGGTTTGGACTGCAGAGCATGAAAGCAAGGGAGAAGAAAGTCAACAATGAAATTTAAAAATAGAAAATGAAAAGGGTGTCGACTATGAAGCTTGAAATTACAAATAAGTTTAGAAAAAATGAATCTTTTAAAAGTTCTCTCCCTGATTGAGAGGGGGTATGGTATAGGGTAATGGTGACTGGTGAGAAGGAAAGAACGTAGAAGAAAAGGAAATTCGAATAAAAAAGGAATCCTAATTGGCGCAAAGAATTTGACTTTCCATTTTAGTCAACATAATCTGTAACTAGAGATTCATTTCATCAATGGATTCCCACTGGATTCAACTCCATGTGGCTTTGCAACAGCTCTTAAAAATATCATAAAAAATGGAGGAGAAGAAGATGATATTGATGTTGAAGATGGATATCAAGGGGACGATCAGGATGAAGCCACCAAGAATTTGCCTAACCGGTGGCGTAGGGAATGGAGATGCTACTTTGTTTTCTGTAATTTTCAACTCAGATACCTCCAAATTATTATTCTCCTATTAAAAAGGCATTCTTTATGTGCTGCACTGTCTAAACATAATTCATTGAAATAATTATAAAACTAGAATCTTATGGTTATAATATTTTGTAAATTATAAATTAATAATTATGGTGATACGTGTATAATATAATATTAAATAAATATATTTATAATATTTAAAAAAATTTTAATTAGAACAAATTAATTATAAAATAATATGTTATATTATACACTTATAATATTATTATTATATTTTTATTTTAATAAAATGCTTATAACTTCATCAATTTAATTTTAATAAACTTAATTTTTAATTTAAAATATTTAATTTTGATAGCACACTTTTAATTTTTAAAATAAGATAACTAAATTAAATTAAAAAACAGTATATTAATCAGGATTCGAGAGCAACCTTACAGTTAAAATATTACGTTCCAAATTTTGATACTCAGGTACTTGGTTCCATTACTATTATTTTTTTTATTTTGAATTATATAATAAAAAATAAATTTTTTATCTCTTAACTCTATTTGACTTATATATCATATAATTTAAATTCAAAATTTTTTATTTTTATAAAAAAAATACCACTAAACTATTTAATTGACATTACTATCTCTTAATTTGGTTTGATTTTACCATATTACCCCTCTTCTCACGTAACTATATTTAATTAGTGAAAAGTAGATGGTAAGGTTCCATGTTTCAAGCCTAACCTTCTCATGCCTAACTCCTATGGTCCTATGGGTCATTTTCCTTTTCAATGGGATAGGCAGAAAGGGCGTTATTCATGAAAAATGTATTAAAGGCTTAACGATTAAATTGATTTAGATGCGATTAATGTTTTTCCTAATAAAATCTTATTGTAACAGAAGAGTTATAGAATGAGTAGAAATAAATTTATTTAAATTTTTTTTTATCATAGTTAGCTCTTTTTTACCTTTTTAATCTATTTAGTACTTACATGTTATGTGATTTAAATTTAAAATTTTTTATTTTTCATGAAAGGCATATTATTATTGAATTATTTAAGTTATTGGTTATTTAAATAACAAATGATTTGATATATACTGTGTCATTAAGAGAAAGGACAAAGATGTATTTATTATATATTTTTAATACATATAATAAAACTAAAACTTGGAATTAATTTTGTCAATTTTTTAATAAAAAATATTTATATGGCATAAATATTAAAATTAATGTCAATTTTATTATTTTTCCTATAAATATATGTTTAAGATCTTTTAAGGATAGACTGTGTTTGGTATACTTTTTGGTTTAATATCCGGTTCAATACTCTCTGGTTTAATAATTAAAAAATCACTATTTTTTAGATTAAAGTTAAAAACAGACAAATATAATGATATAACCATGCATATAGGATACAAAAACTGATTGAATTGACTGTATTTATATTATATTTTTAATGATTAAATCGAAAAATATTGAACCAAGTGTTAAATAAGATATTGAACCAAGTGTTAAATAAGATATTGAACCGAAAAGTATATCAATCATTTCCCTTTAAGGATATATATTAAACAAACCCATGATAAATTAAAAAAAGAAACAATTTACTTGTGGGATGATAATATTACCCACTATCTCCTTTGTAATGGTGAAAATAGAATTTTTCATATTAATAATTAATTTTTGAGGAAAATTTTATTTACTTACA